GAAAGATTATTTTATTCAGTCTATTTTGTGACACATTTCTTCATCCTTAGTTTACTTAATCCTTCGGAAATATAATAAGAAAGTAGTTGATATATTGTAGTGAATCATTATTGATATACGATCCTTGATTGTATATGAACAACATCTGCGATGGTCTCTGGCCAGCATCTGTCATACACAATCTGTGAGAGTTGTAAATTTCTACTCTATATACTTCAACACTCCTCTTAGATCATCATTTCAAAAACAAATACTTTGAATCAATGTATATTAAAATCAACTGTTGTCTAAACTATTATATTGAGATAAAGTAATAACTAGTGTTGTTCTTTTTATAATTAAAATTCTAATTTATGAAGATTTGAAGTTTCAAATCTTTTTTATATTAAAACAACATACAGTTACACATCAAAAACTAAGAAATTATATTTGAATGAAATTTGCTTTCAAGAAATTTAAAATATATTTTGATTCAATTACTTCGATATCAATCGAATATCATTTTTCAACAAAATTAAAGAAGAATTCAAAAGACGAAAAAAAAAATATTCTATTTAATGTGATGTTAGATTTGTCAAATTTGAGAATTGTATATCTTGAAATAGTTTATTTATACTAATAAAATATAAATAGATATTCGTTGGTAAATACATTTGTTTTTGTTTGTTTTTCATCCTTTTCTATTCTTTATATAAATTGTTTTTTTTTATCAATATAGATTATAATAATTAACAAAAACTATTCAATTACAAGTATGTATAGATCAATGAGATATTCATCTCATAAATAGATTCACTGTAAAATCTCAAACAAGAATTTACTTTGCTTTTTATTTATAATTATACTTCGAAATTTGACATGAGTTAATTCTCTTCTTTTATTTTATTTTCAATTTAATTTGATTATTAATAATTTATTAAAAATTAGTGAGGTTTCATACTTCGATAAGATACTTCATCAGACATTAAGTTTAGGACAAACGATATTTAAATACGTATAATAAGGGCAAAAAAACAATTTTATTTTCCTTTGCTTTAATATTAGTCATTCTTCGATAGTAATACGCAAAAGACTTCAATCCTTATATAGTCATTACTATTAGAGTCTTGTTGTCTGTGTTACTATCAAAGAATGACTAATATTAAAGAAAAGAAAAGAAAAAGAAAATTGTTTATTTGCCCTTAGTGAATTTATTTACATACCATTTGTCTTAAATTTAGTGTCGAATCACATATCTTATCGAGATACGGAATATCACTAAATTATTAATATCAAATTAAATTAAAAATAAAATAAAATAGAATTAACTTATGTTAAATTTCAATTCAATCTTCATATCAAAACAAAAATAAATATACTTCATATTTACGAGTGAATATTGATTATTCATAATTTAGTCATGATAATTTTCCATTAAATTTGATTATTAACTATAAAAAATTTTGCGACAAAAATGTATTTTCTTTTTTTTTTCTATTAACATTAATTTATTGATTTCATTATTATCAAGAGCACAAATTCGAGTATAATTATTCGATCTTGAAAAGTTATCTTTTCTAAACGATGATTCCATAAATTCAACAATCTATTAAAATTAATAAAATATTACTTTTTTCGATTTATGACTATTCTAATAAAGCTTATTGAATTGGTGATAGAATATTAGTATTATGTATAATAAGCCAAAATATTTATTTTTATATGTATAATATTTTCTTCGATTGAAGATCAACAATTAATTTTAAACAGTATCTAAGAAGAGTATATTTAGAATAGAATGTGATTTTTCTTAAATTAAAAATATTTATCTGCCTTGTCTTTTTGTTATTCATTATTTCGTATAATTAGAAATAATTTCAGATCAATATTTCATTAAAATATATTATTTTTAACATTATATCTAAATATTTGTTTTTTTTGTCTTTAAGTAAAATCAAGGTGTTAGATGAAATCACTATTTACATCCTTGACAAAAAAAGAAAAAATAATAATAATATTTGATTTACATCATTAAAAATCAAGGTAATTAGATTCAATGATTGTTTTCAATACATGACATTCTCGAAAATATTTTTTATGCATGATATTAAAATGAATACTATTCATTTGACATAATAAACAAAGTAATAACATGAAAATCCATTTATAGCCCCTGTCTATTCTGTACTTGATATACATAAACACATCGTTTGTAAAGTATAGAATCTGCCACGTGTTAGGTAAAAAAAACAGTTACATTGTTTTTTTACTCTGGACCTTACAAAACATGGTTTTGTTTTTTTTTTTTGCATTAAACTCGGTAGTTTGCATACATATTATCCACAATATAATCAGTTTAATCGTAAGATGATAAATATGTACTTTTTTGTTTTTTTTTTAGATACGACCTTTCTATGCAAAATTTTCCGCGATATTTATTTATCTTATCGATGTTAAGTGGTTGATTGTTAATAGGCCACCTATGAGTACTTAAAAATGTAATAGGATTTCAAGGTCATGACATCGTTTCTTCTTTGATCATTACAAAGCTTTTTAATTTATAGAATAATACTCAAAACTGACCCATTAGTATAGTTCAATTTATGGATTATCCTAGAAATATAGTGTTAGTAAATGTTGATATTCTGCAAGAAGTTTACATGAAAAACAAATTTTATCATTTTAATTATATTCGACTTCACCTCTTTTTCGTGAACTAAATCATGATAAATAAAATATTTAAATAGAGAAAATAGAATAAAATCATGTTATTAAAGACAAATGATTATTATCCTATTTTCATCTGCAAAAAATCAAATAAATACCGTCTCTAGTGAAATATAATATAATAGATATAATCTATAACTAGACGAGTCTTATCAAAAAAAAACTGCTATAGATGACTTCATTTGATTATGTCTAACTCGATGACCATTAAATATTGATACTAATATACATAATGATATGAATAATTCATATGTATATGATTACAAAGAAATTACCTTCGGTTTATTTGATTATCATTTGCTAAAAGTCTACTTAAAGATTTATTTTTTAATTTAATAATAAATTCTCTCAGGATGTTAGCATAATTTAAACTAGCATCATGTGATTATATTCAATTTTTGCTTACAAAAAAATTTACTGGACGAAATTCTAGTGCTTGTTAATTGCCGAATAAAATTTACATTATTTTAAATAAAATGTGCGGATTTTTTTTTTGCAATTTATGCTTCATGAAATTGACTTGTGACTAGTTAAAAATTAGTTACTATGTTTATGTATTTTTATTAACTTTATTCTTTTAAGATCATACTGATGAATGAATTCATGTCAAAAACATTATTATATATTCAGATGAAGTTGTTAGCAATGTATTTCTTATGAAATAACATCAACTGTGCATACTAATTGTACGTATACTTTCGCAATAAAATCGAATATTTAAGATACATTTATTAAAGAAATTTATCAAACTAAATGGGTTAATAACGATGATAATACTCATGAAATATTAGCTACAAATTTTTCTTATATTGATTTATTTGTACATTAAGTTCGTCGAGCATATCCTATAACAAGTAAAGAGTACATAAGAGAATATAGTCAACTTACAAACATATCTGGTTACATTGTCGAAAAAGGTTTTTTAAATAGAACAGTTATTATTAATCTATTGATCCTTTTTTTCTTATGTACTATTCAACCTCATATGTTTAGTATTCATTACAGTTCAGACTTATGGAGTCTTAAAGATCCAAATTTTTTTATATCACAAAGTAGCAACCTCGTGTAATTACTTTCTCACCAATATATCATCAAAATTCAAACAAAACAACGAATGAAACATCATACCAGAACAACAGAGAGCGAGATTTATCTCATACACATACCACCCACATATACTCACGTGCGTGGAGCAACAAAATAGAACGTATGGAACTGAGAGAAAGAGAAAAAACGCAGCATGGAGAAAGAGATAGCTAATAATACAAAGGCAGAAAGCTCGTAGGCGGAGAGATTACAGTTTGTGATTTTTTCGCATGGGAAAAAGTTATTTTTTTAAAATGTTCCTAGACTCAAAAAATTGTCAAATATCTCTCCCACCGCGTGTTACCGCACACGGGTACATTCTGCACTTCTGCAGACTTGTGTTATTCGATCTGATGCTATTTTTTTGTTAAACTTGAAAAATGATAAATCTAAAATAGATTTCATTGTTTTTTGCAATGATGTATATGAATTATGAAGAATAATATGTTCATTTTGTTCGCTGTGATAAATATTCGATTTTTTTTTTTATTAATGTGTAAATGAATAAATCTAATATCATGATATGATAATGAGAAGTTCAAAAATTGATAGTAGAATATAGAAAAAATATAAATATGAATTTATCTTATATTATTTAATGATTTGCATCAAATTACTATGATAATAGTAAACTAGTCTCATCATCATTTGATTTATTGTATTATTTTAAAGTCAACATAGTAAAAAAACTTACCGTTGCGGCCTAGATTTTCTCTTTTTTTTTCTTTTATTTCTTATTAACAAAAAGTTACTTTTTTTTTTTATTGATCAATCTTAAGAATATTATACGAAATAAATTCTCATTCGAAAATATTGATTTTACTGATCTGCTCGAATTTCTAGAAAATTTCATCCAATTTTAAAACAGAAAAATGTTCGACTTTTTATTTTTATTCATCTTATGTATGTATGGTAGAAATAAATTAGAATATTTAAGATACGTATTAGAAAAAAGAGATAGCAATATAATAGCGGGAGCAAATCGTGTATATTCACTTTGTACGTCATTGCACTTAAGTGTTATCAATGACTCATCGGCATTCGGTACCTTGAGCTATGAGTATACGCACATTTTATAGAGAACAATATTTTCAGGGGGCAACCAAGTGCATTACTTGTCCTATATAAGATAAAAATTATTTCAAACGCAATTATTTTATCTGCATAAAGAAAACAGCGAACATACATTTACCTTCTATTATCGTAAGATGATAATCACTATTTCTCTGTTGACCTGTATTTTCTGTTTAATTATTACATATTTATGGAACGTTGGAAATTCTTATGATTATTTTCAACGTCAAGGTATTCCAGGACCGCCATATCGGTTCTTTTTTGGTCATTATAAAGATCTTTGGCCAGTCAAATCAATTTCAAGACAATTCCAAGAATGGACTCGTCAATATGGTTCTATTTATGGATTATTTGCAGGTACAACACCAATGTATGTTGTTTCAGATGTTGATTTTCTTCAAGAAGTTTATATAAAACAATTTTCATCATTTCATTCACGTCATCTTCCAATTATATTACAACTTCAAACAGGCAATAAAGTTCATTTATTTGGAGCAACTGGACTAAGATGGCGTCGTCAACGCTATGTAATTAATCCAACATTTTCATGTGGAAAACTTAAACTTATGATGCCCTTAGTGAATCAATGTATTGAAGCAATGCTTAATAAATTATCTGATATAATTAATGATAAAAATACAGAAATTAATATTTATCAATTATATAAACGAATGACAATGGATGTTATTTGTAAGTAGATCAATCTTATACACATATATTAATATTCAATTATGTTTAGGTCGTTGTGCATTTGGTATTGATACTGATATGCAAAATGATGTTGATAACATATATCTACAAAAATCAGGTGGAACATTTGATGTAGATGTTGATAAATTAACTATTGTTAAATTAACTAATTTACTACCATTTTTCATAACACCTTTTCGTTATTTTTATCTTGGTCAAATTGCTCTTCGTAGAATATTAATAAGATTAATTCCAGTATTAAGTAATTATATTGAAGAATCACCTGGTTCATGGTTAACAAATCGTGTTAAAGATGTTGTGAATTGTCGAAATAAATCATTAACAACAAATACAATAAAACGTGTAGATTTATTACAACTTATGATTGATGCTTCAACATATGATCATGTAAAAGTAAGATTATTAATTTATATCTAACAATTATTACGAACTAATTAAAATATGTTTTGCATGTTTATGCTAGAATATGCAACATAATTAAACTTAGCATCATTAGTATTAATTCCACTAGTATAAAAATAAAAATAAAAAATAAAATGATATTTTTATATATTGAAATATATTATATTAATATAGGATCATAGCGATGAACAATTCATGTCAAAAACATTACATTCAGATGAAGTTGTCAGTAATGTATTTCTTTTTATGATTGCTGGATATGAAACAACATCAACAGCACTTGCATATTGTACGTATATTTTAGCAACAAAATTAGATATTCAAGATAAACTTATAAAAGAAATTCATGAAATTAAATGGAATAATTATAATAATGAAGATATTTATGATATAGCTACAAATCTTCGTTCTCTTGATTTATTTGTACGTGAAGTTCTTCGAATGTATCCTATAACAAGTAAAGGACAAATAAGAAAATGTAATCAAACTACAATTATATCTGGTTATATTATTGAAAAAGGTTTATTTAAGTAGAAAAGTTCTTATTAATCTATTAATGTTTGTTTCTTTTTTTTTTTTTTTATTGTTTTAGATAGTATTATTCAACCTGATATATTTAGTATTCATTATAATCCAAATTTATGGGGTCCTGAAGATCCAAATCTTTTTATACCAGAAAGACATGAAATAAAACGTCATCCTATTGCTTGGATGCCATTTGGTGTTGGTCCAAGACATTGTATTGGTATGAAATTTGCATTAATGGAATTAAAAATGTGTTTAATTCAATTACTTCGACAATATCGAATATTACCTGGTGATAATATTGAACAAGGATTTAAACGACAAGAAAAAATTGTTATACAACCTGATGCTATTTATGTTAAATTTGAAAAACATTCTATTTGATAAAGAATATAGAAAAGAAACAAAAAGGTTTAAAATTATCGCTTTATCATATATATATTTTCTACAAAATAATTACTTTTTTTTTTCTATGGACATTAATAAATTATATATTTATATTTCTAAGAAATAATGAAAAATAAAACTATTTTAAATATATTTATAATCGATCGTAGAAATAGGTCGAGAAAATATTTTTTACTAGTACATATCAACCTACAATTTTTTTTTTGTGCAGACTTATATATCGTTTTGTACTATACAGCATTTCATTTTACTACTTTTCCTTTAGAATAAAAGAGACTATACATACCCATTGAATTCTCATATAATTATAATGTGAAAGAAGTTATATAAGAGGTACTATTTAAAATGCTACATTTAATTCTATTGATTATTTTTGCATTTTGTTGTTATTAATTAAATTGTGTTACCATATATATCAATAATTGGAATATTAAAACATATATAAAAAAAAAGAAATTATGTATACTTACATAAGACATTTATACAATCAAAGTTCTATTAGGTTATTATTTGTAGACTTTGAAAAATTTAACATATTTAAAATTTTACTATTAACAAATGATTGATGTTGGAGTTATGTTAAGTTTTATTTTTAATTATGTAATTATTATTTTAATAAAGTCTTTTTTTTTTATTGAATTATCAATTATTAATACAAGACATCATTTTTTGCCAGAACTTATATTTGACATTTTGCTTTATGACAAGAAAAAAAAAACTCACTTCCGATTTGAATAGTTAATATTCATATTATGTAATAAAATAATTCTTTTGTTTCTTTAAGCAATAAGACAGATTTATCGTCAAACATCTTACATCTTCATTATATTCTTTTCAAAGGTATTTTCTTTTGATTGTAGTTGTATAAGAAATGACATTGAATATTATTATTCAATAGTAATATAATCTTTCTTTATAGATGTATAAGACTTTAGTCTACTTCTTCTCTTAAATTTCATTGAGTAATACTACAAATCGTTTGTTATCTCTCTTGGTTATGTCTCGTCTTTAAATAAAATCTACTTGGAGATAAAAATATGACATAAGTATAATGACTACATATTATTGCTATAGTTTTGCAATGTACCAAATGGTATCCTTGTGCCAGCTGTTTCTCACGAACGTTATTGAACATAAAATAAATTACTTGAAGCGTAATCGAATTACCCATGTGATTCAAAATCACAGATTATTGATGTAGATTTTTTTTTATTTGCTTGAGGTATATTCAACTATAAGATTATACAACGATTTCTTTTGAATAAAATATCTCTTGTTGAATACGTTATTCTTCAATACATACACATATTCTTTCTTCTATTCTCTAGTGTGAACTTTTGACCAAGTTTTTTTTTTTTCTTTCTCATCATTTTTTTTTTTTTGTTCTTTCTCATTCTAATGTTCTTTAATATAGAC